ACATCATTTCACACTTTTCCACTCACAATCACTTGTATGCATTTCTTTCTTCTTCATTGTTTCCATCTTTCATCAAAATCCTCATCTTCTCGTAACCTTATACCCTCAACATCATCAATGGCAACCTCTTCTTCAACATCAGCACAGTTTCAATCTTCAATGGCTGTTGTTTCGTCTTCAAACCTAGGTCCTACTGCATTCAAGAATCCAGTAAGAACCAACCACACTCCAGTTGAGAAACTTGAAGTGTTGTGTGAATCTCTTGTGGATTTTGCTTCTCTAACTACTCATGGATTCAACCTACGTTCCATCATTGATGCTAAAAGATGGACAAAATACTTTGACAGATTGTTTGGGCCAGTGTATCCTGTCTTGGTCAAGGAATTTTGGATTCATGCATCTGCATACCCTAAGTTCATTGTGTCAAATGTTCTGGTTAAAGAGATTGTGATTACTGAAGACCTAATTAGGAAGCTCATTGGGTATGTTGAAGAGGATGGTGTTACTCGTTTAACTGGAAGAGTTGATATGGATGTTGTTTATTCTGAAGTAATGGTGTCTGGAAAACCATCCAACATGTTTAAACATCTGAAACCTATTTACAAGATCTGGGATAAGATTTTCATGGGTTGTATTCACCACAGGAAATCAACAAACTCTCCTGATTATGTGAATAATGATCAACTGTATTTCATGTTCTGTTTTAGTGAGAGCATTAAGGTGGATTTGCCTCATTTGCTTTTTTTTCATCTTTGGAATCATGTCAAACAGTCTAAAGATGAAATGAAAGCTAAAGGTCAGAAATCCAGAAATTGGATCCCTTTTGGAAGGCTCATTTCAGACATTCTAACTGAGAATGGTCTGGTAGGTCACCTTCATGATGCTGGATTGAAAGATGAACTTGCTCATGTTCTTGGCAAAACTCTGAGTGCCAAAAGTCTTCAAGGGCTTAAGATTATTGAGTAACTCTCCACTAAGCCTGACAAGCTCAATACTGAAGAAGTCAGCAAGCGAAGAATCCCTCTCTCAGATTTTCCAATGTTTTATGCTAAAGAACCTAAGGAAGTTCTGATCAAATATGTTGCACATTGTATGGCACAAGGACTCCCTTTTCCACATGGAATTGGTAATCGTGAACATATACCAGATATTTATGAGGAAAATAGGAGACAGAGGAAACAGGCTACAGATGAAGAGCAAGTTTCTGACACTCATCAGAAGAAGCAGAAAACTTCTGCAGAACCTGAAGAGGAAACAAGTGCATCTGAAGTTCCTTAGAAGAAGCTCAAGAAAAAAAAAGCATCTGAAGATGCTCCTTCTGTACCTCTAAAGAGCATCAAGGTAAGAGCTTCTAAATCATCTTTACCTATTATTTCTGAAAGTGAAAATAATTTATCAACGGTTAACTCTGAACCTCTACCACCTCCCTCATAAAATCAACCATCTCCAAATAACTCTGAACCACCAACACCTTGCTCTGAACAACCATACAATACTGTTCCAGATGAATCTATTCCAGAAGAACCCACACAATCTGACAAACAAACCATACCAGAATCACCACCTCAAGAAACCTAATCTGAACCCTCTCAACACTTTGCACCAAATATTCTTGATTCAGAAGTTCTAGATATTCAACCACTCAAAACTCTGATTGAACTTTCTTCCAATGATTCTGACACACACTCTGAACATCCCTCTCCTTCACCTAAAAGGAAACGAACATCTGATTCTAAAATTCCTCATGGATTTAAGTTTAAGAACTTCTACACCAGATTTGAACCTACTGAACCTATCATACCTGTTACACCAATTCCTTCTGTAACTATTTCATCTAACCTTCAAGATTATCTGTTACAACAACTTGAGATCATTCAATTTGAAAACCTTCACTCACCAAACACCATTTTCAAACCCTATGATCCAAGACCATTTGATGTTATTCCAACAACCAACAAAATTAACCCTCATTTACTCTCTAGAAAGCCCAAAGTCACCTCATCATCTGCTCCAACTCCCTCAATCTATCCTCGTCCATTGTTCACTATTCCAACTTTTACCATACCATCTGAACCACCTAAGAAGTCTCCCTTGTAATCATTTTTGAACCCTAAACCCAGGCTAAACGTTGATAATTTATTTGCATCTTTTAAGAATGAAATAGAGATGAGTTTAGCATCTGTTCAGGAAAGATGTATGTCTAGCAAGAACTCAGAAGAATCTGATGCTATCTGAGATAGTTTTATTACCAGATTCAATAAAGTTGCTTCAAATCTGAAGAGTGTCTGCTCTGATGAAGCAAAGATCCGGTTTGATGAGAGTACCATAACTGCTCTATTAAATGATAAAAGATCTCCTACTTTGCTTTTGGAAGATGCAACTTCTGAATTGATTGAAGATTCTGCTCCAGAAATTGATCTGCAAGATGCCTCTTTGACTCTGACAATTCCAGAACCCTCTTCTACAATGGTTATTGACTCTGTTGCACCTCCTGCGTCTGGTTCTGCTCCTTCTGCTTCTACTGAAATCAAGAGAGAGACCCCAGACTTGGCAGAAAAGATTGCTCAATTGGATGCTGGTCAATCTGAAATCAAATCATGGATGACTAAGCAAGATCAGAAAACGGACAAGCTTGAAAATTGGATGACCAAGCAAGAAGAAACCTCTTCTGAAATCACCAATCTTCTGAAGCAACTATTATCCAAACAGTCTTAGTTTTATTTTCATGTTATCTGATGTTTGAGCACATGTTTGTGTTTTATGTTTCTGTTATCCTTTGACTATGTTTTCTAAATGATATTCTGAATGTTTGACTGTTTACTATCTGTTCATATTCTATTTGGATTTGTTTTCTCTTATTTTTTGTTGTTTATCTTTTTGATTATGACAAAAAGGGGGAGAAATGAAATTCTGAATGTTTTTAATAAACTTTACCTTAATGATATTGAGACATATCTAATGTGAATTTTTAGTCTTTCAGAATAAAAATGATAAATCTAACAGATTCACTTAAGTAACTCTGAGATCCCCAGATCAAGATTTAACCAATCAGGCTTTGATTCTGAAACGTTCATCCAAATCTGACTCTGATTCTGAAAAGAATACTTATTTAAAAAGGGAAGTTTCTATTCTTTATTTGTATTCATTTCAGGGGGAGATTCATAATCTCAGGAGGAGTTATATTTATTTCTTAATTGAACAAAAGTTTCTATGTTTTTGTCATCATCAAAAAAGGGGAGATTGTTAGAACACAGATTGGTTCTTAGTTATATATCTATGTTTTGATGATAACACTAATGAAATTTTACATTAAGAAACTATATACTCTAATTTTGTTCAAGTATTTTTGTTTCAGATATTAATTTAAATACTCTGAAGGAAGCAAAAATGCATCTGAATGCTATCTCGCTAAGCATGCTTTCAGAAAGCTCTGAGCGCAGTCAGAAGATTCTGAAGCCAAAGCATCTGAAGCATAACTGAAGAATTTGTATGAAGAGTTTCTAGCATTGTTTTTCAGAAGACTCTGATGTACTGTTCGCTGCAAGAACAAAAAATCTGATCTCCAAACTCTGCTCTGATCACTTTACACGCTGAAGCACATTGGCTGCAACACTCTGATCTACCTAACTCTGAGAACGACAAAAGACCTGATCACTCGAGACTCTGATAAGAGATTGAAGCTTGTCAAAGAAGATTACTTTTCAAAGATATATCCGTTGGCATTATCCCAACAACTCTTCCTCATTTGTGATAGACACAAGAATTCAGGCAAAAAGGATTTTTCTGAACATTCTACTTCTGGGAAAGGTCAAGTCAGAAGAAGACAAAAGATCACAGTTACTTTTCAGTACACGGTCTCCAAGCTTGCAACGTCTTGGACTTATTTGGATATAAAAGAAAGTCTTCCTCAACGTTCTCAAGTTGACGAATCAATTGAATTGCTTAACAAATTATTCACCAACTCTCTTTCATATATTCTTCATTTGCTGAATAGTTTTTTGATATTCGTTCTTAAACTTAAGCGTAAATCACAGTTGTGATATAGCTTTCTTAGAAGCATTCAAACACTTGTTTAATTTACATTAACTTGTAAAAGTTCCTTGAGAAGATTCAGTTGGAATCAGTAGTTCTTGAGAAGATTAAGAACAATTGTTCTTAGTGCTTACTATTGTAATCCGGTTGATTAAATAGTGGGTTAAGTCCTTGTTGAGAAAGGAAAATCATCTTTGATAAGGTGGAGTGGAGTAGTTGAGTTCAATGAACCAGGAAGAAAATTCTTGTGTTGTTTTTATTGCGCTATTTTTAAACCCTTATTCAACCCTCCCCTCCCCCCCCCCTCCCCCTTCTAAGTGTTTTTTCCCACCTTCACTTTGCAGTAGATTTTGGCAAGAATGCTGTGAACCAAGATCCTCCATTTGACCCATCAAAAGCTCTTATAACATTTTCATGCATATACCAAAGAGCATGCAAAAGTCATGCAAAAAAACATTACGATAATTTATGTTGATGAAGTATCAAAGATTATATTTGTATCAATTATATATAAAGTTTCACCTAAGCTATAGTAGTTACAAACTGTTAAGTTAGTTTGGAATTATTGAATTTGTTAGACACTCATTTAACCTCTTATTATCATATAAGTATCTAGCTCATGTATTCAGTTTTATCTTGTAATAATTTCCTAAAGATTCAATGAATTATGCAGGAATATTCATTCTCTCTAAAAATGTGATTCTCAAGTTCTTCCATTTACTGCAAGATTCGAAGTAGCAATAACACTACTAGAGTTTTAACATGTCAAACTTACTGAAGGTTTCTTTCTCTACTTTAACATTTTAACCAATACATGCTAAATAACAGCACTATAGGCCTACAACACTATCGTGTAATGAAAGTTGAACAAATTAAATAACAATTACTTCCTAGCCAAGAAACATCATACATTAGAAATTACCTAGAAAATTAACACTATAGGCCTATACCATTTAACACTATAGAGAATGGAGTTTTGTAATTTGGTTTTCTGGATGCTGTGTGTGTTGCTTCATGTTCTGATGAAGATTTCTTCTGCTACTCTTTCTCCTTCTGGCATAAACTATGAAGGTTAAGTTTTCTTACTATTTTTGGTTGAGTTTCTTTCATTGAGATCTTAAGTAGAAGTTATTTATAATTTAAGGTAATACTCATTAGTTGAGCTTATTTGCCAATTTAATTATGCTATGAAAGTTGAAAGCTTAATTAAAGCTTAATTTAGGAACTACCTAATTATCTATCATATAACAGCTTCTAAGACCTTAATTGGTTCTTTTTTTAGGGTATTTTTCTATTCATAATTAAAAGAGCTTTGAGATTGAAGTTATTACCCTTTTATGTTTGTTTATTCTATGAATAGTTGTGGCTTTGATGGCTATAAAAAATAATTTGAATGATCCTCACAATGTTTTGGAGAGTTGGGATATAAACTATGTCGATCCATGTAGTTTGAGGATGATTACTTGTACTTCAGATGACTCAGTTTCTGCACTGTAAGTTGTTTAGTTTTTCAATAAGTGCCTAAAAAACTTTCAAGAGGCTTTTTGTTTTTGATTTTTTCATTTGAAATAATTTTCTTTTTTTCTTTCAGGGGATTGCCTAGTCAGAACGTGTCTGGTACACTATCTCCAAGAATCGGAAACCTTACTAACTTGCAATCTGTGTAAGTATAAGCTGATTATTGCTAACATGATTCATATTTATGATTTCTTAAGTCAAATTGTTTTCATGTAAGTTGTAAGTTGTTTTCGTAAACTATCAGAAGAGCTTATGAAACTAAGTTGAAAACATGAAATTTATCGGTGCTTATTGTCGCTACTGCGAAAAAAGAGGTTCCGGCACAACAGAAGAGTCGCCACCTATAGTTATTTATCTCAAGGGAGGGAAAGGAAACGATCAGGAAAAACCTCGCGAAAAGGGATAAGATCGGCCATCACAACCAAATCTCTGGATTCGGGAGTCGGTTATGCAAGGGGAAGGTATTAGCACCCCTCACGTTCATCGTACTCTATGGGATCCACGCTTGTTTGTTTATCTGACGGGTTGTTTATCTATCTACCTATCAAGGTTGGCTTGAAAAGAAAAGAAAGAAGCTAAGAAAAAGGGGACTCGACAGAGCATCGCTGCTCTGGGCCTACGTATTGCCTCGTGCAATGGGAAAGTCAAAGTCATCGTAGTTCGGCTAACTATGGGTGAAGGGAAGGTTGCTCGCCAAGATATCGCATCTTGTGCCTACGTATTCTCATCAGAGAAATCAGAGCGAACATAGTTCGGGATAGAAGTGAACACAGGTTTGTTCACAGGTTTCTTTACACAAGGAAGGTTAAACTAAAGTTCCAGCAGTTAGGGACAAAGCCTGTTTACGTTAGAACCGAAGTTTTACATCACTCTTTTCTTCAGAAAAGGTTTCCTTGATTAAAAGACCCCAAATGGTAAAAGAAGGTTTGAAGGTTGGTTTTTTTTCTTTTACGAGAAGAAGTGTTTTTTATGAATGTTTGTAATTCATATCGCACTAGAGACTATGACCTAGGAGTGAATGCGTCGCATGTCACCCAAAGGGTGCCACACTAAACATCCTGATTATTGGAAGGAAACCCTCCAATAACCATTTCCTAAGTAGCTTAAGGCTCGTAACGTACGGTATTCATTAGCCTTTATTACTGTGTTTTGATTTGTTTGAGATGAGAAGAGAGAGGACACAACTAAGGGGAACTAGTTCAAGCCCTAAAAGTTGTCATGCAAAATGGTCCAAATGGGTGAGTTTGAAACAGGGAACTCCTAGATGTTATCATGCAAGGTTTCAACCTAAAGTCTATCATCACTTCCTTAAACAAGGAAGTGAGAGTCCTAAGGGAGCATGTGAGTGGGAAACAGAAAACAACTGCTAAAATCAATAAAGCAGATAAAATATAAAGCAAACAGATGCAAATGCAATGCAACAATACAAGCAGAGGGAGGAACTCAACCTCTAGAGTAAACAAGCAAAGAAAAAAAACAATCAAGCAAAGGGAGCCAAGCTCAACCTTTCAATTCAAACATATCAATTAGAAAAGGGAAAATAACACACAAGCAAAGGGAGGATCACCTCAACCTTTAATGCAAACAAGCAGAGGGAGTCACACTCAACCTCTCAGTGCAATCATGCATCTAACCTAGAACATCCTATACATGAACTACCCTAATGCAACAAACCACTCAAACAATGATGATGAAGGAAGGGAAATGGATGAACAATATGACATGTAAGGAAATCATTCCAAAATAATCAAACAAGGCACCTAACCTAAAGAGAGGAATGGATGATGGGATGCATGATGTATACCAAAGGTATCCATCATGACACTCAACCAATCATGGATGATATTAAATGATGGGAAGCATGGTGTATACCAAAGGTATCCACCATTACACTCAACCAATCATGGATGATATTGAATGATGGGAAGCATGGTGTATACCAAAGGTATCCACCATGACACTCAACCAATCATGGGAAGGGATTGTGAGAAATGCAAAGCAGAGATAGAAGAGGAATCATCCACCTAAAGGTTCTAATAGAAACCCTAATGATTAGTTATAAGGATCACCTAACTAAATGGATTTAGAAGCTCTATCAAGGCATAACAATGTTCTAAATAGGTATCAACCTACACTCTAAAGTATCAAGAAGATATTAGAAGCCTAAAGTTTGCTAAAGGTCATTTTCTAAGTCAAACTAAGTGTTATGCAAAATTGGGATCACCCTAAACACAATAATTATGTAAATCCTAGGAAAAATAGTAAAATCAATCCTAAAAGGATAGGAAAAATCCTAGAGCTTCCTAAGGTATTAAGGAATCATGGTAAAAATCCAGAGCCAAAATCTAAGCTTAAAGGTACTAAACAAATTCTAAACTTAAAGGTATGCTATGGGAAGTCCAAATAGGGATAGTCCTAAAGATCTAGTCCAAACCTATATTTAAAAGCATCTAAAAAACTGAGGAAAAATCACACAAATCCCTCTAAGGGTCTAAAGCTATCATGCAAAAAACCAGGCCTAAACTCAAGTCCATGAGGAAGTAATAAAATCAACAAGAACAACATACATTTTTCATTTATTAAAGAATTAATAAAGTGGGAAAAATGGAATTAAGTGGAAAATATGCCAAAATTGAAAATAAAAAATATGGAAAAATTCTAAACATGCCAATGTACATCCATGATTTTTTTCAGAATTTTTGGAAATTCTAAGCATTTTTAATGAATTAAAAACAAGAAATGAATAAAAGAAATTAAAGAAAATGAAATAAAGAAAATAAAATGCCAGAAAATATCACAGCCAGAGGATCAGGGGACTAGTCAACATATCCAAGCGCTCTCAGCTTGCCAGGCACGCGCTGAGGGATTTAAATGAAACGGCGCGTTTCATTGATGATTGTGTGGTTCTTGGTTGACTATGGTTCACCATACATCTTAATCCTCACCACTCAGTCCAAAAGTATGCGCATCTAACAACTTTCAAGCTGCCACCTCACCAAGTCAATAGTCAGCAAGCTGACTTTCATTCTCAAGCGTGGGAGTATACTACTAAGTCAAGCTAGTCAATCTCATCTAACAGATCATGCATCATCTTCTTCATTTTGAATCTTCAAACAAAGGAGGGAAACCAGGTGGTGGCCGGAGAATACTGCGGTCGTCTTCTTCGGCGAGTGAACAGTGGTCCACACATGAAACTCATCCAAACTTCACAAAAATGGTGCCATTCACTTCCTCTACTCACATACAACAACATGCCATGCTCTATTTTTATTTTCTCTCAAGAAACAAGCCTACACGAAGCTAAACAGAAATGGTGCCATTCTGAAAATCATCACCAAACTTCCAATTCTTTCCACCAATCTAATCTACACGTTACACTAATCATAAATCCATGATCAAATCTTGATTTCAACTAAGAAATATCCTAAACCGAGTCATCAAAGTTTTGGTGCATCATCAAGAACTCTCACAAACAGCCTCAAGATTAATCCTAAATCCATCTAGGACCTAAAAGCAACCTAACCACATGCATATTCTACTCTAATTCATTATAAATTAAGAGTAATCGTGAAAGATAAGAACTTGTTAAAATGCTCCCACAGAGGCAGATTCAGGTACGAATTCTTGATCCAAACTATGCAGAATCACTCAACAATGCTTGGAGATGCTTCTTGAATCTTCAATTTCCTCTGAAAGTGCTCCAAACTTGAAACTCGAATTTCAATCTCACCTCACTTTTCCCAACGGTGTCTTACCTGTTCTTGCTCAAACCATCACCAACCTTCATCTGAATTCACTCAAATGTTTATATAGAAGCTTTCTGGGCTGAAATAGGGGCCCAATATTGGCTCTAGGATCCAATTCAGTTTCCACATTTCATCACTTTTTTGCTTTGGAATTTCCACGGAAATGGCATCTAGAAGCTTCAATTTAAGTTCATTTGGTTTACTGAGAAGGTGATAAACATGGAGGGCTGTGATTGATCCCTTAATTCCAATCAATGGTGTGTGTTGGATGTGTTGCTTCATTCTTAAGTAACACATGAAATGGCCATGAAATAAGCCTCAATTCTCAAATCCATTAAAACCAAAGTTCTTGAAACATGTTTTGCAAACAGAAAATGTACAAACTTGCCATAAAACCATTCATTTTGAATTGATTTGAATTTTTCCATTTTAAGGCCTTTAAATTCTCTTTTTATGAAATTTTCTTCCACCAATCCTCATTCTAATCCATATCAATGGATCCTTAGTGTTTCACTGAGTAATTACCCAATTTTGAGCAACTTTCAAGTTGAACAACTTTCCATTTGAGGCATGTAAGATGATGAAATGGACCTATAACCAAAAATGACCTATAATCCATGTTTCCCAAAATACCCTTGTCTTGCCAAAGCCATATCTTGAGTTCTACAAATCCTATCAAGGACTTCTAGGAATTTTTGGAAATCTAAGAAGATAAGGAAGAACATTCATGTTCACTTGAAGTTGAGGAAAAGCTTGCTTCTAGGTCAAAAATGGCATGGAAGTTGGTTGACTTTCAAGGACCAAAATCACATTCATCTGATGACCTGTAACTTGTTTGCTTCATAATTTGAGTTCTATAAACCCTATCAAGGACTTCTAGTACTCAAATTAAAGCTATGAACATCCTCTAAAAGTTTCATGACCATGTCAAGGTGAGATGAGGCTTGCATATTGAGTTATGTGGTCTTGAAGTTAGGCACCAAACCAGAGGATTTTACACTGTCAAGCATAGTAACCCTAGCTCATGCACTTCTCACACTCTTGATTCATGATGAGTTGATCTTGGAATAATCCCTTTGGAATCTCAATATATCACTCCTGTTAGAAAACAGATTGGTTCGTAATAATAACTCTTTGTTTTGATGATAACTGTTAGGAAATTTATATTTAAGAATTATATACTCTAAAATTTGTTTGAGAGTTTTACTGCAGATTGAAACGAAATTAACTCTCTAAGAAGCAAATCTGTTTTGGATACAAGAAGTTATCCTGACTCTGAAGCGCCATATGCACCTTACAGAAGAATCTGATTGCTCCTTACAGAAGATCCTGAGCGTAGTCTCCAGAAGGATCTGAAGCAAGAAGCTCCAGAACATTCTGAGTCAGAAGCATCTGAAGATAAT